TCAAGAGCCATACCTACTAGGCTCACGGAGCAGGGCTCTGTCGCGGAGAAGACGACCACCAGCGGTGTCATCAGGTACACCAGCCAAAGGCACATGGTCCAACGGCTCGTCATCGATAATACTAGCAACATCTAGTGGCTCAGAGATACGACTGGAATGACTTCCAGCAGGCTTCAGCAGCTCTGTGTTGACGAGTTTTTCTGCTGTGCCACGGCCAATCACGACAGTTGAGGGACCAACGACTCGCTTGACGATCCAACCTTCTTCGAATTCGGGGAGTCGTTTCTGATGCCGGTGTGGACGGCGGAAGAGAACAGACTCTCCAGCCGAGAACGCTTGAGTTGGCTCCTCGACAAAATCGCAGGACGACAACTCTGATTCCAGGAGATCGTACATGGCTGAGGCGCGACGCTGTATTTCCTCCGTCCAGCGGGGAAACGACCAATCTGTTGGGGTAGCATCCACCACGAGACTGCGGGGCTGCCAGCCAACCATTGCTTGCATAGGTGAGACACCGGTGACACTGTGGGGCCTGTTGCGGTAGAAGTACAGGAGCATAGCTAGGTCGACCTGCCAATCACTGGACTCGTCGAGGACCTTCCGCACCAAGGTCAACAGCGTTTGGTTGAACCGTTCTGCGGCACCTTGCGATTGGGGGTGGCGAACTGCGCCAAAACACACGTTGACCCCAAATACCTTGTAGAGGGATGACATCAGGGCATTGTGAAGCTCGGTGCCGTTGTCGGAGCGGATAACATGGGGAGGACCCCACCGAGTGCACACACTAACAAATGCATCGGCGACAGACTCAGCATCATGGCGAACAAGTGGGACGACCTCCACCCACTTGGTGAAGGTGTCAATGCAGACAAGAACGCAGTGATATCGGCCAGACTTGTTGGTACCAAGCTCGAGCGTGTCAATTTGCACAACACGCCAGGGACCATTGGGAGTTACAGGTCGCGTTGGTTGCGGTAGACAAGGTTGAGCAGGATTTGCCGCACGGCAGGTAGTGCACTCTGACACGTAGTCACGGCAGCGCTGTGCCATACCAGGGAAATAGCATTGGCTACGGAGTAGACGCCACATACTTTCCCAACCGGCGTGACCACTCACAGTATGGGCGACTGCAAGTGCATCGGCAGTAAGACTCTGGGGAAGGGCAGGCACAAGCTCAACATCATTGAGAGGCGATTTCACGCTGCGAAACAGCACATCATCCTCAATCACCAGCTGGGTTCGGACTCTGCTGTAGCTTGAGTTGGGAATCGGTTCACCGGAGAGAAGCTGGGCCTTAACGGACGAGATCTCCTCGTCAGCAACTTGGGCAGTGGCGATGTCACCCATAGCAAGAGGTGGGAGAGCACGAACGGTAACACCGGCTGCTGCAACATCAGGCTGTGGCTTCTTAGGACTGTCCGGCACACGGAACCAGGTAGGGACACGGGTTAGCTGATCCGAAATATTGTCCTCTGAGCGGACCCATTCAGCGTCAACTGTAATGCCAGATACAGTGATCAAATCGTCGATGATCTGCAAACGACGCTGAACCAACGTAGCGTGAAGGCCACTCACTTTAACCCGACGAATGTTGTTCAGCAACTGCGTCAACCAGCCATGGACTGTACGCGAATCAGTGTGCAAGACCACGTTCTTCACTGGCCAACACAGAGCGAGGTTGAGCGACTTGATGACGGCGTCTAACTCTGCTATGTTGATATGACGCTTATCATCGGAAGGTCTGAGCCAGGACTTGTCTTCGACGATAGCGCCGTTGACTTCCAGAACCGCACCCATGGCCAGGCCAGAAGCATCGCACCAAACGTGCCACACTGTGGTGTCATCACAGGGCACAGACCAGACACCATGCACAGGATCGTCTTGACGGACACGAGACTCGACCTCACGACATGGTTGCACGAGATGAGGCGGTACGAGGTCATCCCATTTCGATGTGTTCTCACCGACAAGCCGCTTGATGTAGTTGCACAGCGGGCGGAACCAGGAACATACCGGGTAGTGACTAATCACACGGCCACACCAACTGAACACTTGACGACGAGTTGGTGACTCTGGCAACTTGAGGTCAACACCAGCACGACGTTCCCACGTGACTGTATCTTCGACATCAGAAGAGGACAGCTGTAGGCCCAACACACGAGCAGTTGCGAACTGCTCTGGCTCTTTCGTCTCAAGCCCATAGCTGGCGAGTTCACGGCGGACGATGTCGGTCTGGGCAGTAGGGACGTAGAGGTCGTCCACATAGTTGTCAACGTCGGCGTGATCACGGGTAATCCATTGGACAATCATGTCCAAGATCTTTGGCGCAACGTTCAGACCGAATCCCATGCGGGTCATGGTATACAACTCGCCTTTGTACACAATGGTTTGGTACTTGTACAGGGTGGGATGGATCCGTACTTGCAGGTAGGCTTTCCGGATGTCGAGAAGAACGCTGTCGGCACTACGTCTGCGCCAGTCACGGAGTTTCGCGTCACAAGCTGGAGCGGTGACACCGGGGTGGGACACAAGACAGGCATTCAGGGCACGGTAGTCCAAGCACGGCTGAACCGGCGTGGATGCCTTGTGCTGCTGACTAACGGCAAGTATCGGCAAGACAGCGACAGGCTCTCCGAATGCCTCGGAGTCGTACTTGACAAGCCATCCATTGTCCACCCACAACTTCATTTCTGAAGCAAACTGCTCCTCCTCGCTGACGCTTAGAGACTTCCGCGAGTACTCTCCAATGCCGGAACCAATGTGCTGCTCGGGTGCAACGCCACCCTTCCACGACCACTGAGCAATCCAATGACCACGCTCATTCGACCAGTTAGCTTGGCAATCATTCGCCTTCAAGGTGACTGTCGACTCGGACTCGGTAACATCGATGTGACGAGAAAGCTTGTTAGGCTTCTCAGATTCGGGTTGGGGAGATGCACCGGCAGCGACACCTGCCTGCTGACCAAACACAACTGAGGACAGCGTGCCCCCTAGACCGTCGTAACGTAGAGTGAGGCCACCAACCTTGCCAATGGTATCTGTGCCAATCAGGAAGTCCGTGTTCAAGGACGACAAGTTGGGCACAACGAGACAATCAATAGTGATCCGAGGCAAATGGACGGCTCCATCAAGTCGTTGCACACGTAGTGTGACGTTGCCAAGGATAGTAAGTGGTGTTCCGTCCATAGACAACAGCTTGTCCTGACAGGGAGAAACTGCAGCTGAAAGGTTCAATCGGTCAACAACAGCCGACTCCACATGTGTGCGAGTACAGCCAGAATCCACCACAGAGGCAAAACGCGTCCACGTACTAGACTCAGTACTGGGTTCCTGTACGTCCACGGCTACACGAACTAGGTCTCCATCCGATTTTGCCAGAGCAAGGCAAATATCCCTACGTTCAGTCGGCGCGTGACCAGCAGCGACATTTCCAACTCGACTCTTGTTCGGACAGTCCTTGGAAATATGCCCTTTCGCTTTACAGGCATAACAGCTGACACTGGGCTTACGCTTCGGGCACTGTGATCTCACATGGCCCACGGCCTTACACTGGTAACACACGAGCGACTTCTTGGGCTGAGAGCTAGCAGCAGCAACAGCACCATGGGATTCTGGGAGTTTGGATGCCTGCATGACTCTGATTTGATTTGCCATATCAGTGACAGTGAGCTTCTGCGTAGCAGACGCCATACGAACGTGGTAACCAATATCAGCTGGCAAACCACTCAGGAACTGCTCGATCAGCACGGGATCTGAATTATCCGCAATCTTATGGCCAGACAGCGTAAGTAGGCGCTTCAAATCTGCCAGGTACGCGTCCACAGGCTCTCCATTCCGTAAAGCCCTTGACGTAAATGAACGGTAGGCAGCACCAGGCGTGGGGCAAAATGCCTGCTCCAGCGCAGATTTAATTTTTGCCGGCGATTTTTTGTCCTCGTCAGACAATTGAGTGACAACCGTAAAGGCTTGTCCACTCAGGAACAACGGAAGATGCTCAGCCTTGGCAGCGTCATCGGCCCACTTATTGGCCTTGGCTAAGACCAGAAACTTAGCCCAGAACTCATCAAAGTCGTCCTGTTTGCCCCGATACGGGCGAATAAATCCATCCAACTTCGAAGCCATCTTTCAGAACTTCCAACGGGTTTCGGCACCAAAGTTGTCGGGGAATCTCAAGCACGCACACAGAGTGCACCCGACACAACGAACACCTACTCAGTTCATATGGTTTACAAAGTTGAATGCATGATAGGATTAAAGTCACGGGAAGAGAAATAGAAAGTCGAAACTGTCTTCATGCCATTGCAATAATAATTACAACCACTGAACACCGCGTGGTTGACAGCTCTATCTGCTCAGGGGGTGCATGCATGCGTGCACAGCACACCCACACGTAATGAGTCTGAAGCACATGCCAGGACGTAATATTAGGACGTGACGTGGCAACGTAATACTAGTACAGGGTTGAAACTCGACCCGGGTGGAACTCAAACTAGGTTGAAACGTTAAGGCTGTGTCTACATGCGCTCGAGTACTGCCACCGTGCCAGGCGCTGCCTTTGCTTTGGCAGGCTTTGGTACAGTGGCAGTGCACCAGCGTACGTAGCATGCTTTGGGTCAAAGGTGGTACGAACGTGTACATGGGGAAAATTCCAGGGAATTTCGTCCTATATTCCCCGGAAATAACGTCTACTGATTGGCTGAATCCATGGTTTCCTACCGTACTATGGGATAAATGTACATAGCGAGGGTTCGGGGCTTTCAAGCACTCTCGTGAAACCTCATTCACCCCCCCCCCCCCCCCCACCCGAGACCTCTGGTCGGTCGAGTTGCTCCCTGTACATCGGCACGTCGTCCCTACATCCCCTGTGCCTTGTTTTGTGTTTGTCTCCACATGTCTATCTGTAGGGCTGTGTTCCCAGTAAAAAATAAAATAAAAATAAAACACTCCAACAACGGTCTTTTCGCTGCAAAATCAAATCAGAACATAATTATTGTACTCACCTTCCTTGAGTCCTTGGCCTGGTCACACTCAAAAGCTGCCTTTGATGCCACGTCTCCCTGGCTTACAGTAGCGGGCGGCGATGCCACGTCCCCCTGGCTCCTGTTGCCCTGGCTACTGTCGCCCTGGCTACTGTCGCCCTGGCTACTGTCGCCCTGGCTCCTGTCGCCCAGGCTCCTGTCGCCCAGGCTCCTGTCGCCCAGGCTCCTGTCGCCCTGGCTACTGTCGCCCTGGCTCCTGTCGCCCTGGCTCCTGTCGCCCTGGGTCCTGTCGCCCTGGCTCCTGTCGTCCTGGCTCCTGTCGCCCTGGCTCCTGTCGTCCTGGCTCCTGTCGCCCTGGCTCCTGTCGTCCTGGCTCCTGTCGCCCTGGCTCCTGTCGCCCTGGCTCCTGTCACCCTGGTTTGCAGCAGCTGGCAGAGATGCCATTTCGGCCTGGCTTACAGCAGCAGCATGCGTTGATGCCACGTCGCTCTGGCTTGCACTTGCAGGAGCAGGCGTTGATGCGATGTCGCCCTTGCTGTCGGACTCTATCTGACTTGACATTTTCTACAATCTGTCAAAAGTAAAGTAAAGTTGGAAAGTGCTCGTTACCACCGGCAGTTTGAGAAGCACAACCACCTTAGGAAGTAAGTTAGTTTCGCTTGTTGTTTTTGTTGTTGTTTGTTGTTTGGCTCCCTCCCCGTGCAGTTCAGTAACCCTCACGTAGTATCACAGATACATCGTATTCTCTCTCTCCCCCCGTTTACCCGCAGTTATTAGTATCCTATTCTCTTACTATGTGCTTCCATAGCTTTTACTATGTTCTTCCATAGCCACTTCTAGGCTAAGCCTTCGCCGTCATTTTATTGGGTCGTCATCCCGTTTGAATGTGCGAAGTGAAATAAAAACCAACCAACCATTTAGAGTGGAGTTCCAAAACAGGCCTAAACCTAATTAGCTAATGACAATGGTCCCACTGATAATAAGAGAAAAGAAAGAAGAAGAAAAAAAAAAGGTCGCTTGTGCCAAGCGATGCAACTACAAACTACATTAGTAGTACAGTGGGTAGACGTCAAGATGCAAATCCCTTTACAACAATAATCATCAGATTCTGTAACACTAGTGCGGTGACTCAGTCCAACCATTCCGCTGGCACTAGCACACACACATACATGTAATCATTATCTTACCTGTGCGGCTGTAGCTCTGCGTTTGACCCAACAAAATGTAAACGGCGACACAAAAGGCGAGACAAGGGACAATAACAAGGCAATACGAGACAGGATGATACAGGGCACCTACCGGTAACTAACTTGATTTACAGAACAACTGCAAACTGCAAGCACAGACTGAAAAGTAGCTACTGAAACTTGAAGCAAAGCCTCGTGACGCTCGCTCGGCTACACCGTACACCAGGTACACGTCGCCTAGGCTACAGTCTATCTTGTAGTACTGACACTGTCGGGGACATGGAAATCCAGTCCATTGACCGGGGACGGCGCCCTCAGCGCGTACAGAACGCTCCGTGCATGCAGTGCAAGTCATGTATTAGGGAGGTTTAGTCCCACGTAATCCGTGGGTACTTTACGTGGGTGTACCACGTGATACTCAGTGCACTAGTGACCCACGTACAGACGTTTTCTGATTCACGACATGCCGCGTATGGAGGCTCACCCACGTTCCGCCAGAACGTGGGTGAAAATTAGAATGGAGCGCATTGTGCAAGCTGTGAGGGTGCTCAGCTGAAGAAGTTTCCGAAGCACGAAATCAAAATATTCGATGAGCTTCTTAGGCCCGGGTAGCTTCGTCTTTGACCAGGTTTGGGCCTTTCGCTTTATGCTTTTGTTTGTTCCGTGTGACTAAACACAACATTGCAACGTGGGTGCCCTTCATCCACTTTACGTGGGTCACCCACGTACGCGTTTCCGTTACGTGGGAACTAAACCTCCCTATTGTTGATCCGATGCGACCAGCGCATGCAGCGCATAAATGCATGTGTGTACCGCTGATCCCATATCCACGGGGTACGGCTGCATGGCCAGCGTCCTGGCGCCTGGCCTGGGGCCGCTACGCGTGCGACCGGATTTCCATGTTCGCAACAGTACTCCGCATGCGCATGACCATGATGACTATGAGTATGAACTATGAGTATGAACGATCTTGCACTTGAATCTTGTTTAAGTAATTATTAGTTGTTGACCATGATTGTATTGTTGACGGGTTGTGGCTGCTGAGCGCTGGTGCACCGGTGACGTTCATACTCATACATGTACTAGTTATCATGGTCATGCGAGGGCTTGAAAGTGCTACGTCACAGGATAGCAACAATATCAAAAATTCAATAACTGGATCCACTTGGATCCAGTTTTTGTATGATCCAAGTGTAGTGTCTGCCAGCCTGCTCGTGTCTGAGGCACTTTGGGCTTACAACAGAAAGTGATACAGGCTGACAGCACTAGCGAGAGGAAAACAAGCTCTTGGGCTTAAACTCTTCACTTCATAATTCCACAAAGCAATGAGAAAGAATGATGGGTTTATATAGGCCAGAGGGAGAGAACTGCTGGGAGCGAGGGCAAAAGATTACTGGGAAGACAGCTGTTGAAAGATCTAAGGAAAAGCCCTTTGAATGTGTGTGAGCTAGGGCTGAACAATAACATGGATTCGGGGAAGTAAGCTGTTGGATGCCTAGAACCGGGAAGGAATCTCGCAAGGGATCAAGAGGGTCAGTGATGGGGAACGGACTATAGGAAATAGGAATCAATGTCATGTATTAGTACAGCATGAACGCAATAGGTCATGCCGTACCGGTCTTGCAAGCAGGGCTATCTAGTCCTAAGTGGTTGCGCGTGAAAAGCACTTCTGACATGTCACAAGACTGTAGGCACGGAGATGACCAATCGCATTGCACCTAGCAGGGCCTAGATGAGGCGATCAAAGCATGCTACAAGAAGTAGAACTCCATATTTAGTGGAGCGGGCTTTGATTTTCCCATCAAAGCGCGCCCAGCCAGGCGGGCTTTGATTTTACGATCAAAGCCCGCTCCACTAGGCTATAGCCTAGGGCTTTGATTTACTGATCAAGCTCGCTTTTTTTTACTCGACTCGTGCTCGAGAAGGTTGAGAGTTGTGCTTTCAAGCGCGATAGGAAGCTCGAAGTGCGTGTTCATGTCAGAAATCCAATCAAAACAGTCGTGTTCATGTTCTATCAGCCAATCACAGCCCTTCGCGAAGTATTTACAAGTATTAGTTCGATATGAGTTTCAAGCGTGGGTGCATGTCAGAAATGCAATCAAAACACTCGTACTCGTGTTCGATCAGCCTACATGTACATCACAGCCCTTCGCGCTTCGCGCGGCGGGCTGTGATTAGGCGATCTCACACTCGTACTCTTGCTTGATTCCATACTTAGATAGAACTAGCAGCACCACCGGCCAGCGTTGCCTGGCCGAATGTGGCGCATGCGGGTGAAGCAAGTCTTATCTAGGTGGCTACATGATTCGCACGCTTCGCGTGCTCAGTGCTTCTGCGCGCGGCTGCTACTGCTACTCGTACTGATCGTGTCTGCATGCTATAGTACACTGTTCGCACGCTTCGCGTGCTCAGCACGTGGTGGTGGCTACACGATTCGAACACTTCGCGCGTGCTCAGTGCTTCTGTAGGCTGCTTCCGCTAGCTACACGATTCGCACGCTTCGCGTGCTCAGTGCTTCTGCGGCCGGCCGCTAGCTACACTGTGCTACACTGTTCGCACGCTTCGCGTGCTCAGGGCAGCGCTGCTCCGCAGCGCTTCAGCGTGACACAAACACACACGTCACAGGTGCCTCTTCTTTATAAGGAGCGTGACACACACACACACACACACACACAGACACACGTCACAGGTGCCTCTCTTTTATAAGTAAAGATAAGTAAAGATGTACCTGTGAACTACAATGTAACTACTGGTAGAGATGTGGCTGTGTGATCACTGACAGTCAGGGATACATGTACTACACAAGCACATTCCAAAAGGCCAAGCGGTCTTACCAAGAACAAGACGGCAAGAGGACATAAACCAGAGTGTGCAACTGTGCATATCAGATCTGAAACAGCGCAGTTCGTGCACTACATGTACGTCACCAGGTCACAGGTTAAACAGTCCAACAGTTGGAGACCAGGGTAACATCGACCTGCCTGTTCAAGCAGCCAAGTCATTCATCCGCAATGCCACTGCCTACGCGAGACAACTCCAAAAGATCAAGAAGCTTGGCCCAGACAACACTGGGCGCAAAACAATTAACGAATCGTGTGTAGGGACTGCTGAGAACGCTGACCACCTACTGCTCAAATGTCCGTCCCGGAAGAGTAGCAGAGATCTCTCGAATTTAGCTGTGTTTGCAGATGTACGAGAAGCCATCCTCACCGAGCCATCACAGGTCGTTCAGTTCCTGCAATTGGAAGGACTGTTTTAAGTCCTTGCCAAGACTTTATACTACTAGTAATCAGCGAATGGATTGGACACAAACTATTTGAAGCTTAGCTCCCATACAGGCCTCTAGTATTTATTTTATTTTATTTATTTTTACTTCCAGCACCTCTCTACTGTTTCGGTTGAGCAACAATCAGATATTTATCGTCCTTTCAATTTGGCTAATGGGGGCGGGGTGACAACTGGTGGCGAAGTAAAAGTCACACATGCATCATACTGAGGCAATGCCAATAGCAAAGTCACACCTTAGTGGATCCAAAATAGAAATCTGATGTCAACTTACTACTCCCTGGCCGTTTTTGACGTCATCACTTTCAAGCGCTATCGGGGGCCGGCGCCCGGGGCATATGCGCATGGGGGAAGAACTAAAAATTAATAATTTGTATTAACTGGTTTGAGGGAAAGAGACAAACGGGAAAAGTCTGAAGAAAAAATTGACTGTCACCACCAGGACTCGAACCAGGGACCCTCGCTTGTAGCCAGCGATGCTCTAACCACTGAGCTATGGTGTAGTCGTCATCCCAGCAGAGGCCGTTCAACATTTTCTTCAGACTTCGTAACTCACACTTCCTGTGAATCCACACAGGCGGGTGGGACGCAGCCCTCACTGTAACCCACACACTTCACGTACAAACTAGCACGCGGGGAGCCCCAAGTCATAAAATATTAACTGGTTTGAGGGAAAGAGACAAACGGGAAAAGTCTGAAGAAAAAATTGACTGTCACCACCAGGACTCGATAATATATTTTGTAACGAAAGTATTTTCACTCAAGGGCTCACCTCTGCTGATTCCGAAGGCTGAGTTTGCCAAGTAAAGGAGGTGATGTATTCCACGAGTAGGTCTTCATGTTTCTTCGCAAGAAGTGGAGCAGGGCCAAGTCTCGATGACCTGAACTCCCATGGAGCCGAACATACAAAGTGGATCTCTTCACCCCGAATTGTTTGCTCGCTTTGCGAATGGAGAGGCCGGCGTTGCATGCCGCCACGGCTTCCTCCATTGTGGAAATTATGAAAATGCTTGGTGAACGAGTTGTGTTGGGTGGTTTTGTGACTTGTGGATCTGGGGATATCATTTCCTGGAAGTGTTTCCATTTAGTTCGTCGCAGCTGAGGCCCTCTCTTACCGCCAGGACTCACCAGCTGAGAAAAATGCGCGGGAAATTTAGCTGTTCGAGACGTGTTAGAAGGGATGAGAAATGTCCCTTTGTTCTGGCTCTCACGTACCGTACTGGCAATATATGTTGCCGCAGTGAGGCCATGAAGCGTTACATTGGCACATGTTTGCCGCACGCAGGGCGTTACATGCAAAGTCGCACAGGAGCCGTTACACAGGTTTCTATATTGCCGCAGTCCTTTTTTTGCTATTGCCGCATCACTTTTTTTGCTATTGCCGCATCATTTTTTTGCTTTTGCCGCATCATTTTTTCTTTTCATCCACATTGAAGGCACAGAAATTCAGTTGCTATCCAACTGTTACAAACCCGACGGCAAAGGGCGACAACGATATCAATAGAAGACTGTACATGTATATTTTAACTATCAGAGTGATCTGTTCACAAAAAGATCATCAAAAGGAAAGTGACATAGGGGAAGAGCGCTTCCTCCAAAAACTACTTTTCACCACGCGGTACACGTGCTTTCACAGTTTTCAGCCTTTTTTTGCAGTGCAAACTGCAATGAAAAGATCGCCGCACCCCGCCGGACGCGCGTTACGAACTCAACGAAAATTTGTCGCACTAGCCTAGTCGCGCGTTACGCCGCACCCCCCTGCGTTACGCGTTACGCGGCAACATATATTGCCAGTACGGTACTTTCTTTTGGCTTCAACTTGCTTGGGGATGTTGGTTATTG